GAAAAATCCAAGTTTCCCAATGTACCTCGGTGCCCACGCTAGCCGCTCATCACTCCTGCAAACAAGGTGTTTGTGCATGGTTCATAAACCTCTTGGCTGGTTTGGAGTCAGGGTTTTTAGCCAACTCTCTTGGGCAAACTGTTAGTGGTTCAACTACTTGATTAAAACCCTGGATATTGGCTTTTTGTCCTCATTCTGATATTATAGATTATAGAGTTGACGCTTTTGGCTGTAAATCACTTCGTGTGTAATAATATATATACTGCTTATTGTAATATATATCTCTGCAATACGTGACTACAATGGCGAATAAGTTTACGTTTAACCAAATTGGTATTGCCGTTTATTTCCATATACAGCTGTTGCAAATTCATGCAAACTGGCGTCATGGAAGCACCGGTCAACTGTCTGCTATCACGGTCTTGATGTTCGCACTGGGCTCAACCGCGCGCATTTTTACTTCAATTCAAGAAACGGGAGACAACCTAATCATTATCACATTCCTTCTGTCCACTTTGTGCAACTACACACTACTTGCTCAAATCATATACTATTGGAATTCACCGATAAAAGCATCTAAAGATCAGAGAAAACAAAACTGATTTACACATCGTTTAACTGTTCTGTTCACGCGGTCTGTCCTTTAACCTTTTTGTACCATTGTCCTTTATGCAGTGCTTACACCGACAAGTATATTTCCTACCTTCAAAAATTTTCTTGTTTCTCAACATAATTATCTAGTTGGGAGGAGTGTAGCTAGTAAAATAGTTTTGGTGTCAGTGATTTTCATATGGTCCATTGTTGTTTTCAAATTAGCTAGTTACAAGCGAACGCCTGATTTGGTTGTTTACAAATAGCTTTGTTCAAGCTACTCTAAATTCCCTTTATCGCAAGAACGGTTACCTGTTTTGAAATGTTCCCCGGTCAAATCGTTGCATCTTGATTCTAGTGCTAGCGATGAGTGAGTGAAGCAAATCCTAATCAACTTGAAATGAGGTGTTATCGTTTGGCGCATGTCGATAAAGTTAAACGCTCTAATCAACTATTCAGTGGTTAGGTGGGTTGCATTCTGAGTGATCCTTCGCTACATGAGACTTAACTTGACTTGACTTCGTTAGCAATGCTTTCCAAACACGCCAGCCCTTTTGGTTCATTCGTCCTTCTGGATCACCTATCATGATCTTGGCACGCTGATTTCCCAGCTCCACTAAAAACGTGAGGTTAAAAACTACGGACAATCGTTTCAACAGGAATCACCCACTGAAACGAGTTCAGGCGCACTGATACTGTCCGGCTTGGAGTTCCATTCACGGTGCCTCATGGGTGAAACCTCGTACACTGTGTTCCCCACGAAGAATTCACTCTAATGTGAATTCCTCCGAAGTTCCATACATCCAGTTCCCTTTAGGAATTTCATAAGAGCGAGAACAGGCATTATCACAGAATTGGTTGAATTCAACTGTGTACAAAAGTGAATGCTTCCATGAATTTCCAACCCACCCTTCTGAAGACGAAGATTTCTCCTACCGATCAAATGTCCCTAACATATCACTCTAATCCGGAGGGCACGTATGGTCCAGAACGGATTGCAGTCGATACGGAAAGATAAGAAATATTCGTGAGTGGTCAATCAGTGTCTGTCGGCTACATGCCAATCGACCACGCTCTAACGTTCCTGAAAATAAAACCGGTGAATCGCCGGTCAAACCAACATTTAACTTTATCCACCTTGGTAAACAACTGCAAAAATGCCACCGGAAACGGACGCTCGCAATACGATTTAGGCTTTAGTTGCAAGGTGGCCTTGGAAGCACAGCTCTCACACCGCTTTCTAGCCGAAGGAATCAATGAACACTGGACGTTCATCAAGGAAATAATTCAAATGTTGATCAAGCTAACAGTGGATCCTATTACACAATCTAATCTGAACAGATGAATCTCGTTGACCTCAGCTGCCTTGCTGGACGCCCGCATAATTATTCCTCCAGATGTTAAATTTGACGGAGCGCACATGCCTTAAAAGCACGCTCATCAAGACCCTGAAGAATGGCCATGAGCAGTGGTGGACAAATGGACAGATGCCGAAGGCTTCGGTTAATGAAAACAGTAGTAATTTTTTCTCCGTCTAGTTAGGAGTACGAGCCTAATGAAAGTAGGGTTGAGATAACGAAGGAGTCCGACAGTACAGCAACACCGTCTTGGGCTTTTGGCGGATTTTAAGATACCAACCAGGCTTACCGACTCTTGATTCCACTGGGCATCTACCGTCAGTTGATATCAATCCCCATCTGAAGTGGAGGTTTCCCGGGAAAACATTATCTCAAATTGCATAAGGCTTCTGGTCCGGATGTACTGTCCACGTCGGTTTTTAAGGATGGATGTTCGGCCTTGATTTTGGGGTTAACGAAACTCTTGTTCAGTATGGCTAGTGCAAGGGTTCTCCCAACGAACCGTCAGGCCGCGCACGCACCAGAGTCACACCACGAGCACACTCGCGACGCGCAAGGCAGGCCCAGTCCAGTGGTTATCCGATCGATCAATCGGAACGTCAAGGATGCAGTCTGATTAGTGCGTCGCTACCGTTCTCGCATGTCTGATTTATCCTATATATTTACTCATCGAACCATAATAACAGAATGGACTTTTACTATTGCCCTAAGTCGTGTTCCATCTCCGCTTTGCTGTTGGGGGGTCAAGTATGAGACGCTCGTGTCAGTCGTTCGTTTAGTGGACCACAACAGTTCTAACTGAATCGTGTCACCCATTTTATCCATTTACGAAAAAGATGACAGATCTTGTAGAAACCACAGAGGAATTAGCCTAATCAATATCGTCTCGGGACTTCTCCCTTTAATTGGATTGCCAGACGCACGTGAACGGTGTACCCATAAGAATCAGCCTGATTTTAGACCTGTCTAGCGCTTGCCCTGCTTGCTCGCCTCTGTCATCGTTATAAACTGAGCTGTAATCGGCCAGTCAGATATCCATATTATGATCGCCTTATATATTTAACCGCCTAATGCGATATATAGAAAATAAATTCCTTTTCACATTGTTTGGTGCTAACCCTCCTAATCCCTCTGTTCCTCTTGAAAAGGAGGAGGAAACTAGTTGTTTCGATATGAACATCATGAGGCGATCGGATGGGACTGTGCACCGATCTGCCTACCGGGAGATCACATGGAGTACACACTGCTCACAGTTCAGCAGTTTTACTCCTCCGGCGTACAAAAGAGAGGTCTAGCGAAAACTCCGTGTCTTCGTTTCCGGGAATATTTGCTCTCCTAACGTGCTTCAAGAAGAAGAGGCCTTTTTATGAAACAAGTCACACACAGGTTTGATTGATACCTTACATCCAAGGAATTCGTCCGGAGAAGCGAAAACAGGAATAGCAATTCAACTATGCATTACATGTCTATCAGTTTACTTGCAGTTGCGGTGACACTTGGATCGATACAACGAATTGACCTGTGCTACAACAGATGGCCGGACACATTTCCAAATGGTTATTACAATCAATGAGGCAACGCAATCTCACAGGTCAATTTGATAAAAGAAATTCAAGTTCACAAATCATAAGTATCCGTTGACAACTGGCCACACTGTTGATCCACTTTTGTCTTGCAAGCCGTCGTTACATAACCTGAGTCTTAGCCTTCAGTGGAGCGATGCAAATCAAGCTAAGTAATCCAATGCAGTATGCACCAACGTTTCTGACATAATCAGTCAAATTGCCGTGATATTGACTCCTCCAACCCTGACTATTGTCTGTTGAACCAGTCTTTATCAAAACTTTCTTTTGTAAAAACTAGATTGTGGCAACTGAGAAGATCAGAAGAAATTTGTTTTCCCTCATTTAAAAAATAACCCTAGCTTTGTATCACAGTACGGATGTCGATTAAGTTTGAAATTTGATGCGGATGTGCAAGCATGAATTGGTATTTCGGAAATATTCACACCCATAGTAATTCCAGGCTCATTGCGTTCAGACTGATTGCGGTTTAAAATTTTCTCCTTTGTCCCCCTAGCTTCACTCAAACAGAATGAATGCACACGATGGTGACTATGGAAAACAATTCTGCCCATGCAGCACACAATCTGGGCTTTGCAGTGTTAATAAATATTGAAAGTTCTTTACCGGCTATTCGCCAGAAGTTTGCAAATTTACTGATGAAAGCGCACTGACCCATTTTTCAACAGCTTCTTTCTATAGCCCCCTCTCTGTCGTGCGCGCGGAAACATTCACTATGTTCTTTGTGTGCAATTTTGTGGAAACTTAGTGCGTAGATAATTTTCTGTTCTGTCTGAATAAATTTTTGTACTTGAACAAAGGATCTGTTCCGACTGGGATCTGCAGCCAAAAAGGGGTTGTTTTGGAACAGCTTCAACCTTCCGGGAGGATGAGGGAGAAAGGGGCAGACTGCTTGATCCGGGGAAAGCTATGCCCATTTGGTATCTCCCTCTCTCTGTCGTCGCTGCGTCAGTGTGTTGTGTGTTTGTGACTAAAGCGAGCGAAAAGTGAACTGCTCCGTTAAACTAATTGATCCTCACATAAATGGAACAGTCGGTAAAGAGGGATAAGTATATTGTTCGGTACCGATCTCATTGAAATGCCTCTGCCGACTGAGGGATAGAGAGGCGATAAACATGACATTTCTTTTAGGTGGTCATATAAAGCGACAGATGCGAAGGAGTCAAAATGAAGGTGTGTGTGTGGGGGGGGGCAGGTCAAGTGGGTTAATGTTACAGAGGTGGGATTGTAAAGAAATCCTTATATGATACGCAATCATTTCTCTCTTGATCATTTTTACCTAGCAATCTCATAAAAGATATACTAACGGTTTGGCTCTAGCCAGTATCTTTATGGATACATGCATCGGAAATGTTAATGTGAGCAAACAGTTCCATGTTGGAAAAAAAACCAAAAACAATGTTTGTTCGGCCAGATTGTTGTCCATAAAATGAGTGGGTTTTATCTCGGTCGCCAGAACAAATAAAAAACGCTAGAATGGTCTTTTTTCTTTTAGGGAGGAGTATATTTATGAGAAGGTTTTGTCCCATATGAGAAGCGGGAAATTTACGCAATATCTGGAGAACTTGGGGGCAATTGACAAAATCTCTTCCGTGATTAGCATAGTGTATTATCCGATTTGTCGTGTTTTTCGGTTGTCCTCGCTTATGTTTTCTCTCACGTAAATAGGGACTGAGGATATGAACTGTAATAAATGACACTGTGAAGCTCCGATTCTTTTTTGCTTTCAAACTTTCAAAACATATATTTTCTGTCATGTTTCACATTAAATAGTGTCTGAGTGTTACCTTTTGTCTGGAAAAAAAATAGCGATTCTATGTAACCTCGTTTTAACTATCCGGAGATCGCTGATTCTATTGAGGTCCCGCTCTCTCACAAACAGTTTTGATATAACATCGAAAAACAAAAATTCTCTGTCTTGGAGTTATGGGTGAATTGCAGGGTGGATTTATCGACACAACAACAACATAATGGTTTTGGATAATTTCGAACCTCATTTTGATATTTTTTCCTTAGTTTTATTCTGGCTTTGGATGAAGCGCATTTTCACCTTCAATTTCTTCTTCAGGA